TTAACTTTTACAATAACGGACTAATACAATATTTGTCCTTTTGTGATTGACTTATTTCACTCAGCATAATGTCCTCCAAGTTCATCCACGTTATGAGGTATTTTGCAGATTCTGCATTATTCTTTAGTGTTGCATAGTATTCCATTGCATTTAATGAATTTTTATGGAATAATAAGTATCTTACAATGAGAACATTCAGTATATGAAAATTTCAGTTTAAAATGTTGTTGTTAGGTGCCATTGAATCGATTCTAACTCATAGCGACTGTAAGTATAACAACTAAACACTACCTGGTCCTCTGTAGTTCTTTAAAATCAGCACTCTTAAACATTTAGGTATTTCTTTAGCTATTAAGATGGCATAAGAGAACATAAATTAAGAATTGAAGATACTCTGAAATTATAATAAATAATGAATCTCAAAATCTAAATCACTTAAATATTTTGCTGTTACTCTGTTGTATGGTTTTAGGCTAGATGTAAGTAAAAGTGGATAAGGGTGAAAAATGGTTTCTAAATCTATAAAATACACATTTTCTAAATGTATAAAATACATAGCATATTGAGTTTTGTTTATACGTAACAGTGATCATATTTTCCAAAATGAAAATAAAGAAAAGTATATTTCATGGGGATAGGACATTGGGAATAGGATCTATTTATGAAAATATAGTTTCCCAGCGCAAATATGATGTGGGAGCGGCATCTGACCTCCTTTAACTTCACAAGGGGGAGGAAGATCAAGATCAACAACCCAAGGCTTATGAGGGTGAGGTCAGACATGCCACCATCCTACAACCTTTTAAACAGCTCTGACACCAACCATCCTTTCCATTTCACTGTCTGCTTCTCTGCTGAGTTCTTTAATTCATTGCAGTGCCCACACACAACTCCTGATATGAATAGACGATCTTCGTGATTATGGTGTTTATTAGGGAAGTAACAGGGTACAATTTAGGATCAGGAACAACTCAGGATACAGTTCTTCAGTCAGGGCTATCTCTTCCCAGCTGTGCCATAGGCACACCTCTCTGGCCTCGACCTTTGCCCTGTTCCAGCATGTATTACAGAATTCTTTTAGCTTTGCTGATAGGTGCCCACAGAGGCACCCACTCTGTCAGCAAGCCTCCTGCCTGAAGGCATTCAGGATTCCCACTCTATAGGCCAGGAAGCCCACCGCTATGTACCATAGTGGTCTCTTAGTTCTGTTGGTTTTGCTGTGTGCCATCTGGGGTCACAACTGTCTTTCTCCTGGACTGGGAAGTTCAGTGCATACTTAGGTCCAAAGTATGCACTCTACTCCTGGCTCTTGTTTCTTGATGGTAGTGAGATCCCCCTTCAGCCTCTGTGGTGGCTCATTTTAAGCCTAGCAGATAGCGAAACTGACCAATCCCCATATTAGAGTTCCATACACCTTATTTCCATGGTCCTGAAAAGATGTCCTGTACTTTATTTACATTATTTATAAGCTTGGGGGGCCACAAGCATCTCATTTGTATAGTCTCACCCAGTCTTCTGCTGAGAGTCACAAAGACTATGGCTAGAAGGGCCTTATTAAGTAACTCACAGTACCACATCCAGTGTATGCGGTATTAAGTTAGCCCATAATAAAACAAGGTAGTCCTAGGTATAGATGGCTAGATTAGGTTGTTATTCACAGTTTTACAGATGAATTAAATAGTTAAGAAATTGTTATGAGAATTAATATATAATGACAGTCCATAGTTAAGAAATTATGAGAATTAATAAAGAATAAACTTAATGATAAAACCAGACATGCTATTTTGAGTTATATTTCAACAAAAGGACTGCAATTCTAACAAATCTGTACCTGTTTAGTTTCAGAATGGCTTCGATTGTTGCCTTTTCTTGGTGTACTTGCGCTTCTTGGCTACCTTGCAGTTCGACCATTCTTCCCAAAGAAGAAACAACAGAAGGATAGCTTGATTAATCTTAAAATACAAAAGGAAAATCCCAAAGTGGTGAATGAAATAAACATTGAAGATTTGTGCCTTACTAAAGCAGCTTATTGTAGGTGTTGGCGTTCTAAGACGGTAAGGTGTCTCTTTACATGTACAAAAAAATTTTGTGGAGATAGAATTGTTTTGTTTCTTAAATCTCCAGTTTTGAGGTTCAGTAAGATGAGATTTGTTCATAGTATTCTATATTGAAAATCTATATTCCTAAATTAAAGTTCAGATTTTATAGTTGATACTACTTATATATTTGAGAAGTTAGAGCAGCAAGAAAGGATAGACATCAGATGTTTTCACAAAGCTTTTTATCTAGAGCAATATTTATTTACTTTAAAAATACATATATTCTTTGAGAAAGCATGTTAAGACTTGAGAAAGAACTTAAGCTTTGGTGTCAGAATGAATTGTGTTCAATTCTATTGTCTGACATAGTATGACTTTGATTAGGCAATTTTAATTTTTTTGATCTTCATTGTTTTTAAATCATGATTTAGTAACCTAGTAGGCATTATTGAAGATTTGATGAAGTTATGTATTGTTATGTGCTATCAAGTTGGCTAGTATATGATAATTATGAGTGATTTTTAATGTGGAAATTAAGAGGGAGTTTGGAATGATGAATACAATAGGCAGTTAATGAAATCTCTATCTTGCATTACTTTGATCATAGAATATTTGGAGTTTTAAGTAAAATAATGTTCATCACAATATCATTTATAAAAGCAAAATTTTCCAATAATCTAAATCTGATAAAAGGAGCTCTGGTACTGAAGTGGCTAAGGCATTTGCTGGTGACCAGAATGTCAGTGGTTAAAATCCACCAGATGTTCTACGAAAGTAAGATGAAATCATTTGCTTTCGTAAAGATTTACGGCCTTGGAGCCCAATGGTGGTGGTTGTGAGTCAGAATTGACTCGATAGCAGTGAGTTTGATTTGGAAATAATCTGATAATAAGAATGATTAAAGTATGGTATAATACAAATGATGGACTGTTAGGAAGTCACTGAAATCATGCTTTTAAAGAATGTTTAATGTCATGAGATCAGAGTGTAATATAATTAAGAAATGTAAATTATAGTATCCCACTTTTGCTTAAAATGATGGGTATACACACACACACAGAGTAAATGCATAGGGAAAAATGTATAATAATGTTCATTATTCTGTGTGTTTAGATGGATGATGAATGAATTTTGTTATTCTTCCATAAACTTTTCAAAAAATTTGCAATGTGTATAAGTTATAGTAAGAAAGCATTATGAAATGACTTATTAGAAATTTAAAGAGCAATTTTAAAAAATTCAAATACATAATGAGGTGAACAAATTCAAATTTAGATCTCCACAGAGAACAAGAGCTTACGTTGTTTCTTTTAAAAACTATTTTAGTCGCTCATGGGATTATCCCACATTATTTATTTAACATGGACATCAAATGCTTAAATTTAACTATTTAAATGGTCGGATTTGCTGTGGTATCAGAAGGAGGCTAGGTTAGGTGTAGAATATACAGTTAGTCCCAACTTACAGTGTACAGTCATCCCTTGAAATCCATGGGGGATTGGTTCCAGGACCCTCCATGGATACCAAACTCTGTGGATACTGAAGTCTCTTATATAAAATGGCATAGTATTTGCATATAAACTGTGTACATCTTCCCAAATATTTTAAATTGTCTCTCGCTTTCGCCACTGTCTAGTCGTATCTGACTCCTTGGGTTTCCAAGGTGGTATCGCTATGGAAGTAAATTATCCAACTTTCCTTCCGAGGAGTCGCTGGTGGGTTTGAACCATGAGCCTTCTGGTTAGCAGTCAGATGGCTTAGGCACTACACCACCAGACCTAATCTAATGTGAATGCTATGTAAGTAGCACTCTATACTCCTGTGAGGGATTGCTTTGATCACTTAATTTGGTTCCCCCTTCAATATTTTCCATTTGCATTTGGTTGAATCCACGGGTGTGGAACTCTTGGATATGGAGGGCCAATTGTATTTGAGTTATAATGAATAGCACTTAAGGACTTTTTTTTTTTTTTTTTTTTTTTACATTTTATCATTAGTAATATGTACTCCATACAGTGTTGCAGTATATAATTTGCTGATGTTATCATTCTCAGATGTTCACTCACAGATGTTCAGTGTTATGATTTATAAAAATGCTGATAATAAAATGCAGTAATAATGAAAACGTAAAAAAAAGGTATTCAACTAAATCAGAAGTGACGGGCAACAGTCATCAGAACAGAACCCTGTTAAAAGTCAGGGACTATCTATATTTATCAACCACTCCTCGGAAGGAAGGTTGGGCAATCCTACTTCCATGGTGATACTGCCTCGGAAACCCAAGGAGGGGTCGCTATGAGTTGGGGCCGACTCGACGGCACATAACAACAACAACAACATCTATATTTATTACTCAGGGATGCTATCTGGGTTTTTTTTTTTTTTTCCTAAAGAAAAGTATTACGCTTTCTTTATGAGAGCATTTCACAGATTTTCCATTTATTGAATCATACTTTTAAAGTAACACAATTCTTTTTCTCTTTCTAGTTTCCTGCTTGTGATGGTTCACATAATAAACACAATGAATTGACAGGAGACAATGTGGGTCCACTAATACTGAAGAAGAAAGAAGTATAATAGTAATGAATTAGGGTTGAATTGAATTGTGTGCTGTAAAATCCTATAACAATATTTTGTCATTCTTTGTGTATAGAATATCTTTGAAATGGTGGTCTTAATTATTACTACTTACTGAATAATTATTTCTGCCAGTTTATTTTCTTGTTACACTGCTGTTTATATTTGGTACTTTGTATAATAGTCATTTATATAGAAGTTAAATTATGCAAGTCTGTCATTATGATTTCCAAGAATGTATCTTCCAGTAATAAAATCAACACTTCTTAACACTTAATTGAGAAAATCTAAATTATTGGCAATGGGTCCAAAACTGTTTGAATATCAATATTTTTAACAGAATGTGTACTTAAAATTTTTTCCCACACTGTTAAATATTTTTCAGGTCTCTTGTTTTGATCATTTGAAGTGATTTCCCCTTTTGAACTTTCACACTTCATTCTTTTTAGAATGGAGGAAAATATTGCCATCAGTAGTTACTTGTGTTTTCACAGAGATAAACTCTTTTCCTTTGTAGAAATTATCGTCTCTAATTAATATGAATATCCAATTTCAGGAAAGATGTAAACTGGATGTAAAAAATTCCAACAAGGAATAGTTACTTACAGTATAAAAGGTTTGTTTAGTTTACAAAAGTCTTGTTTGTATCTGTTTATGTGTGCTTTTGTGTGTGTATCTTCAGCTCTTTGACTTTAAGTGCGGTGGGGTGAGATGGGGTGGCAGCATTTATAGCTGATCTTACAGGCTGCTGCAAGTTGAAGATCAATTAGGAATCAACAGTTGCCTGAATTCATGTTAAAATGATAGGGTTCGATGTTCAAACTTGTATTTATATGAGTATTTTCCTGTTTAAAGCAGTGTAAACCATACAAACATATAGTATGCAAAAAAAAAAAAATTGCAAAATGAACTAACTGGAGAAGCTTTGAAGTTTGTACTTTTTAGTTTAAGTCTCTTTAGTTTATAAATTATAAATTCTTGTATTATAAATCTCATGTTAATAGCTATCCTTAAATTTGTCTATTAAAGGTACAATCTGTTCAGTTCACTATGCCTTTTTTTTTTTTTTTTAACATTTTATTGTGGTTTGGGTGAAAGTTTACAGAGCAAAGTACTTTCTCATTCAACAGTTTATACACATTTTGTTTCGTGACATTAGTTATAATCCCCTCATTGGAACAGTACTCTTCCTACTTCCTCCCTGGGTTCCCTGTTTCCATTCACCTATCTTTCCTGCCTTCTGAACTGTGTTTTTGGGCAAATGCTGCCCTTTTTGTTTTATATGGTTGATTGTATTAAGGAGCGTGTTCCTTAAGTGTGTTATTGTTCACTTTATAGGCCTATTATTTGGCTGAAAGGTGATCTCCAGGATTTCACTATGCCTCTTTTTTGTATGAAGAAAGTACAGGAGGTAGACATATTTAATCCTTATTGCAATTATAAACCCATCAGTTATTGAGAACTTATATGTACCAGACTGACATAATTTTCATTAAAAGGGCCAAATCACTTTTACTTTCTTCATCTAAATGTAATGAAAGCTCTGCAAAACCCAATACAGCAAATGTCTCCCTCTAATCCACAGTATAAGGGGCTCTGCTGGTTCACCTGTTAAGTTCTTGGTTGCTGACCAAAAAGTTGGTGATTTGAACTCATCCAACTGCTCTGCAGGAGAAAGCCCTGGCAATCTGCTTCCATAAAGATTATAGCCAAGAAACCCCTGTGGGGCAGTTCTGCTCTGTCACATGGGTTGCTGTAAGTCATAATTGATTCAGTGGTACCCAACAACAGCATGGACCAGATATTGTGCTTAGCATGGCACCTGGAGTATAATATTTATTACATGTAATGTCAGTAAGTTTCTATTGTGTCATCTTCACTTTTAGTGACCAGTAGCAGGAATTTTAAAGTTAAGGTTAGAAATGTAGTCTGTGATTTTGAGAAGTTTTATGAGATTTATGTCCCAAATTGTTGCTCCTTCCTCTCCTTACCTGCCATTTGGGGAGAAATACAACATTGTTCTACTTTGTCTTAGGGTGCTTTTTCCTGAGACCTTTCTTCAAAACCTTAAAGACTTTGCTGATGACATGGCTTTGGAAAAAAATGTCCTCTCACCAAAACTTTTGGGATCCTGAACTATGGTTATGCTTTCCTTTATATAAAATCTTCCATAGTAACTCACCAGCAGCATGTTTTTATACATGTGCTAGTGGTTTCTGTAGTTGAATTTCATAGGAAAAGGTAAAATTTCCTGAAAATGTAGAGTTGTGTGCTGTCAAGTCAATTCCGACTCAGAGTGACCCTATAAGATGAACAGAAGTGCCCCCTAGGGTTTCCTGAGCTATAATCTTTATGGAAGCAGATTGCCAGCTTTATTCTTCTGTACAGCAGCTGGTGAGTTTGCACTGCCAACATTTTAGTTAACAGCCAAGTGCTTGTGCCACCAGAGGTCCTCGAAATTAAATAAATAATTATAATATAGAGACTAGTATATAAATTGGGAACTCTGGTGACATAGTGCCTAAGGCATTTGACTGCAAACCAGAAGGCTGCCGGTTCAAACCCACCAGCCAGGTTCAAACCCACCAGCCACTCCTGGGAAGGAAGATTGGGCAATTTACTTCGGTAGTGATACCACCTCAGAAACCCAAGGAGGGCTCACTGTTGAGTCAACAACAACTTGACAGCAGTGAGTGTGTGAGTGTATAAATTGATCAACTTTTAATTTTGTCAAGAACATTTTAAAAATTAAAAATTATTTCATAAAAGGTCATTTTTAACACCCAAAACATGAAAAGGCTATAGTCTCAGAATAAATAGTCTTTTTTCCCATTTTAAATTGTTAAAATGCTTAAAAAGAACAAAAACTATTGCACAAATATTTTCCACCTGTACAAATTTCTCAGAAACCCGGGACTCATAGAAAGCTATTTGAATGACTTCTTTACAGAAGCATTATTATTATAATTGCCTTCACTACTTACAAATTCATAGAATTCTATCATGTATACCTTAAAAAATAGACATGTAATATCCAGCTGCATGTGAATTGATACAACAGAAGATAATTTAGCTCTTGAAATACCTATGTTGGGTTTTTAGGAGCTTCAGGATACAGCCCTGTTGTTACCGTATCGTGTGATTCCTTTGAGGGCTGCTCTGCTTACCAAGGGAACTACTCATTGCCTTACTCAGCAAATGAGCACCACCATTACATAAATAACAGGTATCCAGAATCGTCAATCAGGCTTGAGTTATTAATGATTCATTTAGATGGGTAATTAAGCAAGCTGCATTTTGAAAAACACATTACAATTCAGCTTTGAGTTCAATGTCTCATATGATGATTCATTAAATTGCTTTTGTATTTTGTAACCCTAATTTGTTAATAAGTTTATGGGAAGCCACTTAAGCCAGCTGCTGATCTATATAATTCTTCCTTGCTGTGATCACATAGTTATCCATTAGAAACAAGCTGCCATCCTGGTTAAAATGGGAGAAAAATGTGGAACAACACTCAAATTAATAAAAAATGGACCAGACTAACAGGACTGATAGAGATTGGAGGAATTCTTGAGACTATCATATTGTCTTCCTAAGACACCCTTTTAACCTGGAACTGAAGCCACTCCAAGAGGTCACCTTTCAGCTGAATAATAGATTGGCCTATAAAATAAACAATACCTATCAGAAATGTGCTTTTTAGAACAGTCAACTGTATGAGACCAAATGGGCAATGTTTGTCCAAAAGCAAAGCTGAGAAGGCACAGAAGGGCAGGGAAATTGGAGGGTTGGAAACAGGAAAGGAAAGGATAGAAATAAGGGTGCTAGCACATTGTTGTAGACAGCAACCAATGTCACAGAACAAATTGTTTATGAATTGTTGAGTGGGAAATTAGTTTGCTGTGTAAACTTTTACCTGAAACACAATAAAATGTTCAAAATAAAGAAGGGAGCTATCAGATTCTTCATCTGGAAAGAGAATTTTAAAACTCTATTGTTCAATGGGATTCTTAAGAAATGACAGTGACTATTTTATTTCATACAGGAACATCTAATTGCACTTCACTCATTTAGAATTAAGTTGTGGCAGCATCACCAGTCTGGAACGGACCAAAACAGATGCTACACTAATGCTTACATACTTTATTCATCAGTGAATGGCTCAAATCTCCGTCTTTAGAGTCTACTTAGTCTTCACAGCCAATTCTAACAAGTCTAATGTTTGATTTCTGCTTCTAAACAAATCGTAAGTATTGAAAAAATGCTGCTACAGGCAGGTGTACAATAAAATGTAACAGCTGACAGCAGTGAAGAGGACCAAAAAATAAAGAAAGAACATTAAAAACATAATAGCTTGAGACAATGTAATATAGGGTCCCACATAGTCCAGTAGTCCCTGAAGGTGTCACTGTGATTAAATAATTCATGTATAATGATGAATTTGAATCAAGGTAAGTATATATGGTACTTAAAAAGGCAGGGTGAATGTTGTATTCAGTGATACCAGTTTCTACTTTAAACAGAGCCTTAGTGTTTAATCCATGGGGAGATTTATGCAGGAAATACCTTAATTCATTCCTTGATATTTGAAAGCTTTATCACTGGAAGAATTTTCCATTCATTTGAAACATTTTTAAAGTTTAATGACTAATTCACAAAATTTAATTTGTTAAAATATGAGGAAAATTATATAAAGCAACAGTGATTTAAGAGCATATCAATCATGTTACACGACTTTATCTATACTAGCTGCTGTTTTGTGGATTTGGGCTCATGGGTGGCCCCGTGTATGTCAGGGTAGAACTATTCTCCAAAGGATTTTCAGTGGCTGATTTCTCAGAAATTAACAGGCCTTTTGTCCTAGGTGCCTCTGGGTGTTATTGACCCTCCAGCCTTTCGGTAAAAAGCCAAGGGTATTAACCATGTGCTCTACCCAGGGATTTCTTAGAGAGGGCTAAAAATCATATATAAAAACCATGTGAGCAGCAGCTGTTCCA